CTATAGACTAGACTATAGATAGACTATAGACTATACTATAGACTAGACTATAGACTAGACTATAGACTAGACTGTAGACAAGACTATAGACTAGACTATAAACTAGACAATAGACTAGACTATGACTAGACAATAGAATAGACTATAGACTAGACTATAGATTAGACTATAGATTAGACTATAGACTATAGACTAGACTATAGACTAGACTATAGACTAGACTATAGACTAGACTATAGACTAGACTATAGACTAGACTATAGACTAGACTATAGACTAGACTATAGACTAGACTATAGACTAGACTATAGACTAGACTATAGACTAGACTATAGACTAGACTATAGACTAGACTATAGACTAGACTATAGACTAGACTATAGACTAGACTATAGACTAGACTATAGACTCTATAGACTAGACTATAGACTAGACTTTAGACTAGACTATAGACTAGACTATAGACTAGACTATAGACTAGACTATAGACTAGACTATAGACTAGACTATAGACTAGACTATAGACTAGACTATAGACTAGACTATAGACTAGACTATAGACTAGACTATAGACTAGACTATAGACTAGACCGTAGACTATACTATAGACTAGACCATAGACTATACTATAGACTAGACCATAGACTAGACTATAAACTAGTCTTAAGACTAGACTTAAAACTAGACTATACTGTAGACTAGACTATAGCATAGACTATAGACTATACTATAGACTAAACTATAGGCTAAATATAGACTAAACTAGATTAAATACTAGACTCCACTCTAGATTAGTTCAAAAGTTTAAAAAAGTACGGAAAATGTCGTGGGAGTATTCGGTATTCGTCGATATTAAAAAGTACTAAGGTAATGAATTTCCCATACCTTATTGAAATGATACTTTACTTATTATGGTACGATACGTAAACTAAATCTGTAATAATAAATTCTTAACAAGTATGTTGTATAGATTCATAATGAACACTTTTATCAGGAAGAAAATACGAAAAATATATAGAGATATTAAAAAATATACAATCCTTTCTAAAGCCCTTATATTTTCGCAAACATTTCTATAAATGTTGGAAAAACAAAATCTTAAGCTTACTTAAGTAACAGCAAACAAATGCATATGTACTCGTAAATGATATTATACTCCATATGATTGCAAATTTTATTACTTGAAGACAATTTTAATGAATACAAATGGTCAACAGGTCGTTTAAGAAAAAGACACACAATACTACAAAGAAAAACTAAGAACCAGATAACGATGTAAAATATCGTAAAGATTTTATGGTAATGTATGCAAAAAACAAAATATCTTAACAGAAAAATCTAAGCAACCAAAAAAAAGGAAGCAACTTTGTATGACTTATGTTCGAAAAAGGCGCCACAATACAAAAACTTCGATATAATTTCAAGCATATAATAAAGATTTTAAATAAACAACAAATACAAAAACATACTATTAAAGTTTATTAGTTTAGTTTTTGTGGAAATATGAATATGAGCATAAAAAAACATTTTATAGATGTTAAACATTTTATAGGAAACATGTGGTAAAATGTATGGGGATGTTCATATTTATTTTACAAATTATGTATTATTAATTTGACAATTTGTGGTGTTTTTCTAAACCAGACAAAAACAACAAATTCGTTTATAATTAACTTTAAATTTAGAGTCATTTTAAAATGTTTACTAACTATATAACTACAAATTGCATGTTTATTTTGTTATAATCAAAAAACCACGTGTTTTGCGGGAGTTTTTGTTGAAACTTAACTAAATCGGGGAAAAAATCCAAAACATTTTAGCCAGCAACGTGTTGTAAACAACAACACGTGGTCTATACAACACACAACGGCAAAGCACAGACAACCACCAACATCATGACGAAGGATGACTTTATTTCGAAAAGGGCTAGCTCTCCACTCCTTCTCCCTACTCTGACGTTTTTCAAACATAGTGTCCTTTTACCACTGTGTGTTGTTTAAACATACGAAAATCACATTATTATTTATGTTCCTAAATGCAAACTAAACTGCCACCGACCTGCTCGCACTCGCTGATCCCTCTATTACACACACACGATGTGGTTCAGTTGATAAACGTTTTTAGTAGCTGCAACAATAACAACCACAAATGGTTCAATTGGCACAACAACTACTAGACGACCACTTTAGTAAAAACAATACAAAATAAAACCAGTTCTGTAAAGGCGAGCATATTCGCTTATGTACTATACCCTAAACCAGTCCTATAGTCTAGTATATAGTCTAGTCTATAGTCTAGTCTATAGTCTAGTCTATAGTCTAGTCTATAGTCTAGTCTATAGTCTAGTCTATAGTCTAGTCTATAGTCTAGTCTATAGTCTAGTCTATAGTCTAGTCTATAGTCTAGTCTATAGTCTAGTCTATAGTCTAGTCTATAGTCTAGTCTATAGTCTAGTCTATAGTCTAGTCTATAGTCTAGTCTATAGTCTAGTCTATAGTCTAGTCTATAGTCTAGTCTATAGTCTAGTCTATAGTCTAGTCTAGCTAGTCTATAGTCTAGTCTATAGTCTAGTCTATAGTCTAGTCTATAGTCTAGTCTATAGTCTAGTCTATAGTCTAGTCTATAGTCTAGTCTATAGTCTAGTCTATAGTCTAGTCTATAGTCTAGTCTATAGTCTAGTCTATAGTCTAGTCTATAGTCTAGTCTATAGTCTAGTCTATAGTCTAGTCTATAGTCTAGTCTATAGTCTAGTCTATAGTCTAGTCTATAGTCTAGTCTATAGTCTAGTCTATAGTCTAGTCTATAGTCTAGTCTATAGTCTAGTCTATAGTCTAGTCTATAGTCTAGTCTATAGTCTAGTCTATAGTCTAGTCTATAGTCTAGTCTATAGTCTAGTCTATAGTCTAGTCTATAGTCTAGTCTATAGTCTAGTCTATAGTCTAGTCTATAGTCTAGTCTATAGTCTAGTCTATAGTCTAGTCTATAGTCTAGTCTATAGTCTAGTCTATAGTCTAGTCTATAGTCTAGTCTATAGTCTAGTCTATAGTCTAGTCTATAGTCTAGTCTATAGTCTAGTCTATAGTCTAGTCTATAGTCTAGTCTATAGTCTAGTCTATAGTCTAGTCTATAGTCTAGTCTATAGTCTAGTCTATAGTCTAGTCTATAGTCTAGTCTATAGTCTAGTCTATAGTCTAGTCTATAGTCTAGTCTATAGTCTAGTCTATAGTCTAGTCTATAGTCTATAGTCTAGTCTATAGTCTAGTCTATAGTCTAGTCTATAGTCTAGTTTATAGTCTAGTCTATAGTCTAGTCTATAGACTAGTCTATAGTCTAGTCTATAGTCTAGTCTATAGTCTAGTCTGTAGTCCATATGGTCAATAGCCGTGTCTATAGTCTAGTCTTCAATTTTCATTGCCTGGTGTAGGGTATAACTAAATACAGCACAACCGAGAAAAAAGCCCACATACCCGACTTTCGTTCAGACTTGTCTGTCTTTTTCTGATATGATGAGGAGTAACGACCAAAAGATAGAAGTAACAAACATTACAATCACACACATTTGAAGCAGCAGGAGTAAATACGAAAACTGTAACCAGCAAAAAGTGTTGGTCTTAAAAAAACACCACAAAAAAACGGGGAGACTTATAGTCAGTGTAAACATCGAAGCAAACCAAAGATTTTGTTTGGATAACAGTTCTTTAAGGAATCCAATCACGTAGAATTTCTTACAGTATTATTGAGTGGTTGTGGGCACTAGTCACCGATGATGGGCAGGAGTGCTAGTAGAAAGAAAAATGACAAACTAAAAATAAATAAAATCAAAGGCTTTTTATTAGAAATGCATACCAAATTAGAGGAGAGCTAAGGAGAAAGGGAAAAGCAAAATACAATTGGAAAAATGATGTCTTAAGGAAATATCAGTAAAAGAATATTGTAATGTCTGCTTTGCATTAGGTACTTACAAGTTTTCAAAACAAAAAAAAGCTTCGCTGAATCAGAATTTCTAAATTATATATGGTTTTCGAGATATAACATCTTTATTTATAAAAAAAAATCTGTTATGTGATCCGAAAAACAAATCTGTGGACTTTAAAATGACATTAACATTAAAAGTCGGTCTAAACTGTTTTTACACAAAATTTCGCACCGTGTACTTTTTCAGCGAAATGAGAGCAAAGATCCTCATCTTTAATTTAAATCTATAACTTAAAATCAGAGTAAATCGTAGACATTGTGTTTGCCACAAAAAAAACTGCACTAAAAATAGACCCCACACACGCACATCGAATGCATTTCATATGCCCCAAACAGTAAAAACAAATAATGCGCCTCAAGTTCATGAAAGAGAGACCGATAACGAGACTCGTAGACTTTACCGACACCATGCGATGTTCACATACAAACAACTTTGTCACATAGACAAACAACAAGAGCAGAAAAATAAAAAAAAAAACAATTTAATTTAACGAATGCAAACGAACAACGAAATTCTCCCAAAAAAGAAACACGAATTGCATTTCAACGACAAGACACAGTTGTACAACGAAATGAGAAAATAAGAGCAACTAGAGATAAAAGTCAACCAAAAAACGTTAGAAACAAACAAAAGAGTTTGGAGCGGAGCCAGTTGGTTTTGCAAAATGTTTAACACAATATGCACAACGACTGACTGCAGTCAGTAATGGAGGAATAAGAAACAACGGGTGCTATATGAGGGCCACAAACAACCGACAAATGTGTGGCATCTACAGGCATATAGGGGAGAGTATGCGTTTGTAACTGTGTAAATTGTTTGAACAGAACTCACATGTGTTTTTTCGATGGATGATGCTCTTTGAACGCATTTCAACTCTTCTCCCAAAGCCAAGAGGATGATGTTGTTTGTTTGTGTAGATGTGGAGGTTCATTTTCATGTTGTTGATGATGATGACGATTGCGACTACTACGACGACGACTTCGACGATGAAAACATTAGCGACACTAGTAGACAAACTAACTAAACTGCTGGCCTGCTTGCATGTTTTGCTGGCACACCGTAATGTAGTTGATAGCCAGCTACGTTAGTCGTCAGTCAGTTGGCTAACAATAAGGCAGGCAGCCAGCTAAAGCGCGAGCCAACATGAGTGGTGTGTACGAGAAAACTTAATATTTGTTGGCTGACTGACTGGCGGCTGGCAACGAAAAATTGTGTGCCCTACGGCAAACATCATCAACATCATCATCGTAGTCGTTTTATGACTGAGACGCATCCAAGAAAATCGCCAGCCAAAGAAGAAACAAACAAAAAAAAAAAAGAACGATGAAAAACGATTCCAAAAAAAATTCTTCTTCTGGTCAACTCAACGTGTCATCAAGTGATGGTGGTGATGGTCCAAGATGTTCGAAAAACAAATGCCAACAAAAAGGCAAGGAAAAGGATTCATCAAGGCAAGGAAAGAAATATAAACCATTTCATAAAAAAGACAAAAATTTGTCGTTTTCTTCATTGTTTTTGGCCAAAACATCATGATAGTTTTTTTTTGTTTTTTTTGGTGAAAACAAATGTCATTGTCCAACGATGAAGTATGAGATTAGCCAAATCAAATAGAAGCCAATATTTTGGAGTGCCAAATCAAAATATCGTTTATGAACGAACCTAAAGAAGACAAACACCACGTTCAAATTTTTTTGAAGAAACACTCAGTAGTTTCACACACATGCAGGCACATCAAAAAGGAAACAAATAATCTTCTACTGAAAATAAAGGTCAGCTATTGAAAATATTTTCGGGTATAAACCAGTATTTGGATAGAAGTTCAACGCTAATAAACTAACCACCAGCCCAAAAACAGTCCAACGTCTCGATCATACAGTCTCAAATCAGGTTTTCTTTTTAATATAAAATAATGGACTAAATACGCGATAAAATAACATCTTTATCTAGTATATTGGACTTGTATCGCAAATAATGGGATTATACGCGATTTATTTTGTGCAAAATGAAAAACAACAAAAACAACAAAAAAAGTGACATTCAAATATAAATAAAACAAAAACAGTTTAGTGAAATAGAAAAAATAATTAAATAAAATAAATATAGAATTAATCTGAAAAAAATAAAAATAAAACAACACATGCAAGAGGAAAAACAACAACTCAAACAGCATGAGTAAAATAATTAGTTTCTAATACAAGTGCTAAAAGAAATATTTAAATATAATTTTAATTCAAATAATATAAACAAATAAATTGAAAATTACATAATAATTACAACAACATATAACTTATTTATAACAAAAATTATAATATTATCTAATAAATACATAAAAGTGCAGCAAATATATAAAAATATAATAATATTTAAATAACATATTTAATTAACTTAATTAAAACTTAATAACAATATTGGATTTAAACTTATGGCCAAATATTTTGTAGTTAAACAATAAATACTCACCTTATAAAATAAAAATCTTCGGAATAACTTTATCATCATGTAAATAATGCTGGAATATGGAAAACAGCAACTAGAACATCAAATCTCTCTGACAGCTAAATGAATATGAGGAAATCATATTATGATATTCTGTAAAAGAAATCGAAAAAGTGGTAAGTAATTTATTAAGATTTTAAATATTGCAATATCGTAATTTTATAGATCCAATTCAGTACTTGATTGGTTTGATATGTTTGGATATTTTTTATTATAGAGCACCAGCTATACCCAGTGTGCTTCGCTACCCTAGAAACAATATAAATAGAAAACCCTTTACGATTTTATTTCTCTAATCGGCAAACGGTGGCTCAGAAATTAATTTCATCGACCAAAAGACAAATGTTTTGTTAACACTGAATTCTATAATTTCAATGCCATAGTAAACACATCAAAACTAAGGTAGCTAAGGTGCTAGTGGAACCTGTTCTAGAATTGATAAAGTAGGAACCTGTTCTCAAAATTATCGTGAACATTATTTTCTTACTAAAAATGATTATAGTAGAACCGCTTTTAAAGAAAACGTTTCTACACGTACAGCATTTGAATATTCTAGTTCCTATATTTTCCCAGATGTAAAAATGTAATTTATAAGGGAGGTACCATGCCCCTATTGCTGGTCCGGTTATTTTTCCGCAAATTGTTCACATAGGTTTCAGTGTTGCTCGTGCAAAATTTTACGTGTATCCGATATACGATTTTTTTATTTAATTCTTATTGCAGGGACTATGCCTCCGTGATCCGCCAATTTATTAAGGAGATACTAACATGGATGTTTGTGCAAAATTCGAGCATTCCGCCCATTTTTGCACAAAATGATCATATTGACACTAAAGTTTATCGTACGAAATTTGGGAACTGTTGCTGTTATAGTTTTCCAAATATACGTGATTTGATATTGGCTAGTAATATAGGCGTGGGAAGTGCCATACCCACTATTGTTAGTTCGCCCATTTTTCCCCCAGTTTTCATATACGTGTCAAAGTTTTTCGTGCATATGTTTCATATATATGTATGTCAAAGTTATTCGTGCAAAATTTTAGAACTCTAGTCGTACCAGTTTCTGAGATATACTACTTTCAATAGTTATTTCGTAAGTGGGCGTGGCACCTTGCCGCGAATTTTTTTAAGCACTCCTATTTAGTTAATTAATGTTAGTTAATTTAATGTTAATGAAAGCCATTTCATGTGATGAATGAAATTTTCAGGAAAAATTAATAACGAAAGATTCAATTTTATGAACGAAAATTGTTCATTATACTAATGAAATGTTTCATATATTTAATGAAGAACATCTGAATGCGTTTCATTAGCTAAACGAACGAATTTTCTCTTAGTGCTCTCCATTGACACTATTGTGTTAAAACCACTGTTTCTGATGCCTTTCTCAGCACTTTCATTTATTAAATATAATTATTTTTTGCGAAGGGACACTTCGCAAAAAATAATTACCTCTCCACTATATTACCTCTCCACTATATAGTATACTACCTCTCCACTATATAGATATGGTATTGTGTAGTATATTAGATTCAGCCCATAACCGTAAGAATTCTCAGCAGGTCATTATGTAAAGACCCAGATATCTCACTAAGGTTTAATGTGATGAAATTGGCAAGGAAACTGCTTATCTTGGCGGCTATATCAAGACATTCGCAGATATTCTTCCTTTTCCCTGTCTTTGCAACTGCAACAGTATTCATTGAAGGGAACATACCACAAGAAGACTTACATGTCCGCCTAGTATCCAGTGTCCAGTTATTACTGCTATCAACCTCGATATATCCAGTCTAATTCGGATTATAAGTTATATTGAGCATTTCTTATTTAAAAAAGAAGGATGATAATTCCATCTAATTTGAGCCTTTTGTAGAAATAACGGCATTGTAGATATCTACAGCAGATCCCGTTCTAGCTTCTAAAAGTTATTCCAAAGCAAGCTGATCTTTGAACTTTGTAAAAATGGTATAATTAGGACATAGCCCTCCCCACTTCATCCCAAATATCTTACGACAAATATATTAGCAGACCTCTTGACTCTGAGTTGGATGTTAACTTTCCATGATAATTTAGTGAGTCTAGGATAATTCCTATTTATTTAGCACTGTTTGATAAAGGAATTTGCAGAACTTTAAATTAAATTTACAATGAAAAGATTGGAGCAATAAAATCTCCAATTCATGCTAATAAGACCTCTAATATTAACTTGGTCGATCAATTTGAGTCGTTAAATAATGTGTCAAAACATACGACTCATGTTACAGAAGACTTGAAACCATAGACCAAAGTATACTTTAGTAAAGAATTTTCGAAGAAGGAAGAATATCCCCAGAAAAAAATGGATGCCGAAAAACAAGTATGAACGTGTAGTCGGTTATAGCCAATATGATACCCAGAACCAACATGATTTATTTTAGAAATTTATTGATATAAAATATGGACCGATCCGGAAAAAATTCGTAGGATGGTTGTACAAAACTTATTTGTGATGATTATCGTCGAGTTACTAGTAAATTCAACATAATTATGAGTACAACAGCCATATTCGGGGGTTGGGTTTTATGGGGCTAGGTGAAACAATGGACTGATTATATTTGTTTCAAATTTCATGAAATAATCTTGAAAATTGCGGCACTTTACAACGTTTATATGGACACACGGATATTCGAACGGACATCGTTAAATCGACTCCGAAGGTGATTATTTAGAACTTTTAATTTTGTTTGCCAAAGGTGGGGCAGAATCGAACATTTTGAGATAATTTTGACATTGGTATAGCCAAGAAGTTAGAAGACAATAACAAGCAAACAATTTTATATTAATATCTTTTCTCTGTTCTCTTTTCCGGATATGTTTGCCTACGATATTCTGAATATATATCCTTTTTCTTCTTGAGAAGGTTATATATATGTTTGTCATTCCGTTTATATTTTTTATATGTGTAATTTACCGAATCCATAAATTAAATATGTATGTATATTCAGAGTTCTTAAACTATGTCCATCTGCATGATTTTTCAAATCAATCAGCAAAATCGGTCCATAAGTAATTGACATATGAGCAAAAATCCGAGACAAACTTAAAATTAATACACATACATATATGTATGTATATCCGCTGGATTCATAAAGCAAATGTATAAACATACAAATTTAAATATGAAAAATATCTGTATGCTGTACTTGTGTATTTAAAATTTCTTTTAAGAAAAATCTTAATATTTTCTAAGCTCATGTCACGACAATTTGGCGCCACATAAATATTTTCCAAATTCTACAAAAATGACAATAAAACAACAATTGCACAATACAAACAAATAAAACATGAAATATTATAATAACACACACACACAAAATATAAATAAGGCCGACTAAAATAAAGAAACATTTGTTTTCCTACGAAACAAAATAAATATATATTTGTTTACAGTATGAATATGGGAAAATGAGAAATATGCAAACCTCTAAACTAAATACTCCTTCCTGCCGCCCTTAACAATATGAATGTAGGAAAAAAATCTTATGAAAATTAAATATTTATGTATTTCTTGTTAAAATCAAATAAATAGTGCATTTGTGCATAAATCCCAAGGAGAAAGGTTTCAAAATAAAAACAATAATTTATGGAAATATTGTATGTTATAACATTGTTATAAAAACTAATATCCGACTGTTAACAAAAGACAACAAATATTTATTTAAATGCAACTTTATCCAAAATTTTTTCATATTAGTAAAAAAATGTTATTTATTGCTATTCATGTAATAGGGAAAATATGAAAGTGATGGAGAAAAGTATTCCTCCAGTTAAATTTAAAACTCAAATAAGAGTTATAATTCTTTCCAGTACAAATTTCAAAGAAAAAATCATAGATTTGTATTTCCTTAAAAAAAAACAAATCTGTCAAAACATAACTATAGAATAGTTGTCCAATTTTTCTTTCTCACTGTAAGGAATTGAAAAACCATTTATGTATTCGGATTTGCCAAATCCATACAGTATTTTTTATGAATTGTGTGTTAAAGTTATATGTTACAATAGAAATCTAGTTAAATGTTATTATAAGGTCAGTTTGAAAACTTCGTACCAATAAATTTTTTAAACCAAAATACACCGAAGGTGTGTGTGTTTGATTATGTTGTGTTTAGTTTTTTTTTTATCTGCCACAACATTTAATTTGTAAATTTGTTATTTTTTTTATTAACAAATAATAATTTGGGTGTTTAGTTGTTGAATTGTGGAATTTTAGAAACATTTAAACATACACGTGCATAATTTATTATTGTTGTTTTTAATCGATGTGAATGTAAATTACGGTGGTAACAAAAAAGGTTGCGAAAGTTTTAAATGAAAATTTTATTGGTATAAATAAAGGAACTGAACTAGAACTATACTGAACTAGAACTGAACTAGAACTGAACTAGAACTGAACTAGAACTGAACTAGAACTGAACTAGAACTGAACTAGAACTGAACTAGAACTGAACTAGAACTGAACTAGAACTGAACTAGAACTGAACTAGAACTGAACTAGAACTGAACTAGAACTGAACTAGAACTGAACTAGAACTGAACTAGAACTGAACTACAACTGAACTACAACTGAACTACAACTGAACTAGAACTGAACTAGAACTGAACTAGAACTGAACTAGAACTGAACTAGAACTGAACTAGAACTGAACTAGAACTGAACTAGAACTGAACTAGAACTGAACTAGAACTGAACTAGAACTGAACTAGAACAGAACTGAACTAGAACTGAACTAGAACTGAACTAGAACTGAACTAGAACTGAACTAGAACTGACTAGAACTGAACTAGAACTGAACTAGAACTGAACTAGAACTGAACTAGAACTGACTAGAACTGAAACTAGAACTGAACTAGAACTGAACTAGAACTGAACTAGAACTGAACTAGAACTGAACTAGAACTGAACTAGAACTGAACTAGAACTGAACTAGAACTGAACTAGAACTGAACTAGAACTGAACTAGAACTGAACTAGAACTGAACTAGAACTGAACTAGAACTGAACTAGAACTGAACTAGAACGAACGGAACTAGAACTGAACTAGAACTGAAACTAGAACTGAACTAGAACTGAACTAGA